GCCAACAAGTTCATCATACACCATAACAATATGGACTATAATGTACAAATACTATAAAAAAGAATGAACGCCGGCACATCAATTTTCAGTACTTCAAAATAACTTCATAATCCTCATCTATCGATAAAAGTAAAACATAAACACTTTGAATAACTCGTGTTACGCGGTCTACTTGAACTTAGTCCCCGTGCGTATGTGGCTGCTTAAATCAAGCACATAAAACATGAAAAGATTAATAACAGCCTGAAGTGAACATATGTAGAGCATGGCAAAGTTTAAGTATGAAAAAATAAGGAAATTGTAACATACATCCTCCATTTTCCATTTAATGACCTCCTCAAGCACTTCTTCAACGGTTGTTGCCAAGGGCATGAGGTAAACCGGTTTGGTGACACTATGGTTGTTGCCAAGGGCATGAGGTAAACCGGTTTGGTGACACTATGGTTGTTGCCAAGGGCATGAGGTACCGGTTTGGTGACACTGGGAATATGCAGGCTATAATCAAATCTTTTTGGCAAAAGAAGATATTCATAAGACGGCTTTCAGGTGTCCAGGAGCGTTAGGTATTTACGAATGGACAGTCATACCATTCGGATTAAAGAATGCTGGGGCAACCTATCAAAGGGCCATGAATTCGATTTTTCATGACCTCATTGGCAAATCCATAGAAATTTATATTGATGATGTTATCATTAAATCTGCTAGTTTTGATCATCACTTGAAAGATCTAAAAGATGCTTTCAGCCGAATGAAGAGGTACAATCTGAAAATGAATCCAACTGAATGTGCTTTTGGGATATCAACTGGAAGTTTTTTAGCTTTTTTGGTGCATGAAAGAGGAATTGAAATTGAGGCAACAAAGCCAAAGCAATTCTAGCCATCCGACCGCCCAATACGGTTAAGAAAGTACAAAGTCTTTTGGGCAAGGTAAATTATCTAAGAAGGTTCATTGCTAATGCTGCTAGAAAGGATAGACCAATCACTAAGTTGTTGAAAGCTGGGGCGGACGGTTTTGAGGGGGGACCACACCAGCATACAACATTAGATGCTATAAAGCAAGTCTTGGTTCAACCTCCAGTCTTAATGCCTCATAAGGAAGGTCGGCCCCTCAAGCTTTATTTGGCAAATACACACGAAGTGGTCAGCTGCTTACTAGCACAGGATGGTGATGATGGTAAAAAGAAGGCAATTTATTATTTGAGTAAGACTCTTGCAGGACCAGAATTAAATTATACTATTCCAGAAAAAATGTGTTACTCATTGGTGTTCGCATGCACCAAACTTGAGCATTATATGCTGCCTAGGAGAATAGAAGTTATCTCAAAGGTGGATCTTATCAAATTAATTTTGCAGAGACCTACCATGCAGGGCAGACATATGAAATGGGCCATTAAATTGGCTCCTTTCGCTTTGCAATATTCTTCGTTAAAGGCGGTCAAAGGTCAAGTAATAGCATATTTTATGGTAGAATTTTCAGGAGACAATCAAGAAGAGATCGAGTGCATATCTTATGTAAGCACCCGAACTTGGTCAATGTTCTTCGATGGTTCTACTGCTGGAAATAGATCAGGTGCAGGGGTTTTGTTAGAAGCACCAGATGGCCAGAAGATCAAGTTAGAGCTTCAATTAGAGGCTATGGCCCACAATTCAGCAGAATATGAGGCTCTAATCCTGGGATTGGAAGCTTTAATAGCCAGGAATGTTCAGTCAATAGTCATAAGGAGAGATTCTCAACTGGTAATCAATCAGGTGACCAAACAATATGTTTGCAACTATCCTCATCTACGCAAATACAGGGATGTTGTATATCGATTGTTATCAAAAATCTCAGAGGTAATAATTGAGTTCATTCCTAGAAAAGAGAATCAACATGCAGATGAGTTAGCTCAAAAGGCATGTAAAGGGATTCCGAAAGAGATGTGTGCAGAGATCGAGTCAGAAACAGGTGGTGGGACCGATTGGAGGACATAAATTGTCATGTATCTACAAAATCCAGGAGCAAATGTGCCGATAGGGGTACGTTTGAAGGCCTTACGATTCCAATTGATAGAAGGGGTCTTGTATAAAATGACATTTGAAGGATTACTTTTAAGATGTTTGGGGTCTAAGCAAGCTTTGGAAGTTATGACAGAAGTACCTAACGGGATCTGAGGAGCACATTGAGCAGGTTTTAATATGAGATAGGCTATTCACCATTTGGGTTTCTTCTGGCCAAAGATCTTCGAAGATTGTATTGCAAGAGGCTGTCAAAAATGTCAAAAGCATGGACAGTTGAATCGTTTGCCAGTTATTGAATTACAAGCTATGGTAAAACTGTGGCCTTTCAAGTCCTGGGCCATGGACATCATTGGCAAAATACACCCTCTTTCATCCAAACATCATTGTTTTATTTTGGTTGCAACAGACTATTTCACCAAATGGCTAGAGGCGGTTGCTTTCAAAAATGTGGATAAAAAAGAGGTAATCGATTTTGTGTTGAATCAGATCATCTATAGGTATGGCATTCCGCATTCTTTAACCACTGATCAAGGTTTAGTTTTCACTGGGGAAAAGTTTATAAGTTTCTTGGCAGAATTTGGTATTCGGATAAACCATTCTTCGCCTTATTATCCCCAAGATAATGGACAGGAAGAGACAACCAATAAGATTATTATTGGAATCATAAAGAAAATGGTTGAGAGGAATCCAAGAAAGTTACATTTGCTATTACCTCAGGCCTTATGGGCACACAAAAATAGCATAAGTTCGGCGACGGGGTTTTCACCATATCAACTTACTTTTGGGCAGGATGCTGTGTTGCCAAAAGAAATTCAAGTATCTTCAGGACGTACAAGTTTTACTGCTAGAGAGTTCACTGAGAAATATCAACAAGTTATGTTGCAGAAATTGGAAAATTTGGATGTTAACCGACTCCACGCAATCGATCAGATTGCAAGGCAGAATGGAATCAGGGCAAAGTATTACGGAAAGAATGTCATTTATAGGACTTTCCAAGAAGGAGATTTGATTTGGAAGACCATCCTACCTACGTACAAGAAGATTGATCAATTAGGAAAATGGTCTCCGAACTGGGAAAGGCCATTTATTATTCATAAGGAAATCGGAAATGGTGCCTTTATTATAATAAATCAAGAAGGTAAAAGAGTACATGATTGTATCATTGCTAGAGATCTGAAGAGGTATTTTTCTGCCTTTTCAGATAAGAAGAATGCATAAAACAAGAGATATTATTCAGAAACCAAACATAAAGGGTTCGAACCCAAGATAGGGTTCATTCATTATGAGATATTGATATGTGCGGGGGACCTCCGTCTTCTGAGTCAGAATCTTCATCCTACTGATTGGAAATTAACTCTGGTTCCTCATCAAGAAGGTCTTCTAAATCAGGTCGGTATCGTTCCCATTGATTTTGCATTTCTTCTAAATCATGATTTGTACGAGCTTTTATGTTTGTTATGGCTTGGCGTTCACGGTCAACAATTGTGCGTAGTCTTGAAAAAACTGTGCGTTGATTGGAAAATATGTGATCCCAACCAAGATCCGGAACTATGGCTTTCACATGATGTTCAATTAAGTCCATATGATGATCAATATCAGGAAGGCGGCTTAGGATGTCACGAAGAGTTTCGTATTCACCCAGGACATTTTCCATCATGCGAATAACACGATGAATGGTTTTTCTTCCTCATTGGAAAAATCTGAATTTGAAATATAGTTGGTTGAGTATATGTAACAAGTCTTCGGCATGACCACAAACATGATAGCTACCCACAAAGAAGGGTTGAATGGCACTTTCCCAGTTTTTCGAAGGAATATGGGGCCGATGTTGTGACATCTTAATTAATACTTCAGGTATGTCCCAATTTCAGATTTTTTTTTTTTAAGTTGTTTGTTTTATCACAAAGGGTGATGATTTTTATAAGGGAAGTGAGGTTAATTTGGCTCTTGGGGGTTCGGAATATAGAAAGTGATCCTTGTCAATAGGAAAACAAAATTTTTTTACTAAGTCAGAATTTACATAAAAGATTTACATAAGGGCCCCCAGGGCCATTTTTATCTGAGACCATTTGTCTTCAGCCCTGGATAGGCGTCGGTTGTCAGCAGCCGCCTGATATTGTTTGATGAATTGAGACCGGGCTTGAATCTTCAATTCTTGATCCAAGTCGGCCTCGTTCTTCTGATATCTTTCAATCAGGCGTTGCTCGTCGGCCACGTGGCCCACCATAATGGAGTTCTCTTGACGAAGCGCCTCTAATTCCTCCTCATTCTTTTGGATTGACTCATCTATTTGAGTTTTAGCATTGAGGAGGCCGTCCAGCCGTCCGGAGGCTTGCTGAAGGAATTCCCTGGTTTTGGCCAAGGAAGCCTCAAGATTTGTTTGATCTAAGCTCGGCTGGGACGGTTCGGCTGATAGGAGTCGGGCGAGTAGGATTTTGTTTCGAAGCTCACTTAACCTCTCCATCAACCGATGCAGAATTGGGGCGGCCGTCGATGCCGAAGGACTTTGAAATAATAGGCCACCAACCGCCTGAATGAGACCCTCAAAGGAGTCTGATCCCAAGTTGTAGAAGGGGCGGTTGACTGCCTGAGCGAAGGTAGCTCGGATGTCTGCCGGAATCGGAATGGCCGACAAAGGGGCTAGGTCAAAATGTCCCTAAGAAGAAGTTCAAATGTTTAAGTTTGATGGAGAGGATGAATGGTAAGGATTACTTTTGAGATTTTACTTACTTCCTGACGGACCGTGGTTATAGAGGGTGCAAGGATTGCCATCGATCGGGAAGGTCGGGCGGTTGGCACTGCAATTACCGACTCTTCGGCCACTGAGAAAGGTCTTTGCGGTGCTGACCTGAGGCCCTGAAGTTAAAATATGAAGTATTTAGTGCTTAATAGAATTGATATAAAATGATGAAAGAAAGGTTTGAAGACCCTACCAGGTTAACAGAGGTCTCCGACTCAGAAGAAGAAATTTCTTCTACGTCAAGTGGGGACCCCTCGGACGGATGGCAACAGACGGCTCTGCTGCTCGCCTGGCCGCCTCCGGTAGTGGGATGGCTGCAACCGGGACGGCCGCAGCCGGGGCGGCTGCCGCCAGGGCAGCTGCAACAGGAGCAGCTGCAACCGGGACGGCTGCAGCCGGGGCGGCTGCAATAGGAGCAGCTGTGATAGGGGCGGCTGCAACGGCGGCGGCTGCAGCAAGGGCGGTTGGCTCTTCACTTAGGTAAGAAGATTCTGCAATTTATGCTGGCAGTAAGGCCTTCGAGGCAGCAGTTGCCTCGCTATCTGTCGAAGCTTCTGTTACCTCCGGTTCGGTTGGTGGTGGCGTCTGCAATAAATATATTAGATATCTATTCTAAGTATGGTGAGTAAAGTGGTTAAGTGTTGGGTGTTTAGAAAATTTACTGGATCTCTGGGAGGTGCTGACAAAGATTGCCTCCTCGTCAGGGCCCCTTCCCGACCACTCACCGGCAGAGAGGGAAGGGATTGCCTCCTAGTCGGGTCCCCCTCCCGACTGATCATCGGCAAAGCAAGCATCGGTGTGTGGACTCGGATGGGAAGGGCCTAAGGTGAAATAACACTAGTCAGTACATGACTAGTTATGAAGAAAAGGAAAAATGGTAATACGAGTCATTTACTTGGGGCTGATTAGCTGGCAGGTTTGGTTGGTCGGCCGGGGCTGGAGTCGGTTGTTCAGTTGGTGTTGCCGATGTCGGACCTGATATGAAGAAGAATATAAGTTAGAAAGTTAAGGAAATATCAAGGTGATTAAAGACTTTTGAGCATACCTAGACGGGGCTGGATCCTTGTTGGCATCCAAGCCAATAAGTAGTCCTTGGCGGCTTGTTGGTCTATTTCGGAAGTCGGGAGTGCTTGGATCTGGGAAGCTTTTCTCTTCCTCTTTGGAACACTTGATCCGGCACCCAGGGCGGCTCTCTTTCTTCGGGCACTTACAGCTCGAGCCGCCCCTAACATCAAGGCAGGCTGGGGCAGGAGAACACCCAGCAACCAATCCTTTTCCGGGCCAAGTAGGGCCCACGTGACCGACCACCATTCGCGAAAGGTCTCAACGGTTTCTGGAGAGGAATGGAAAGGAATGTAAGAGTTGGGAGTTATGTTAGTGGTTAGTTGGGTAAGGTAAGAAGGAATCAGTTCGGGAATGACCCACCCGTCCGGGCTTTAAGGTATTAGGTCAGGACGGGCGATGGGGCCAGGTAAACCTTGGCAGCAGCCGAATTGGCGTGCCAAAAATTGGGGCTGATAACTAAAAGTATAAAATGATTTTTGGCCTTTTTTATCAAATTTTTTACTAACAAATAAAGACCTGGGTTTAAAAGTAGAATACCAGGAGAAAGAATAGGTCGGATGAGGAAGAGGGTCAGGTTCGCCATGGGTGAAGACACAGGAAAAGGCCAGAAGAGACCGACCGCATAGCAAGCATACTTCCTATATACATAAAAACGGGAGTTGCTGCGGTCGTCAGCTAGGATGGCAAAGATGATGGGGTCGGACGATTGGAGGTGGCCGTGACCTAGGCAAAGTCAATTAAGGACTAAACCCAAAGAATGGTCGGGTGTTGGAGCGATGGGTAGACGACCAAGTTTGAACGCGTCAGGAAAGTAAAGACGGAACCAAAGTTCCAGGAACCAAAAAGGGCCCGACGCGGCGGTATCTAATTTTTTACTATCACTATCTACAAGGTGGGTGCTAACCCTAGAAAGACCTTTGAAAGGATTGGCAAGGAAAAGAGTGCCAAGGGAAAAGAAACGACCTGAAGCTAAATGGATAGCCAGATCAAGATGAGAAGAAATGACGCATTTGGAGGGGGAGACTATGACATACCTACATAGCCAGAAGAGGACGAAGGACATGTTCGCGGTCGGTCACGGGGGTCCCTGCTGGCCCTTCCTGGTCGGTCGCAAATTTTGTCCAGCCCCATTCTTTTACTCCAGCTAAGGACCAGCCCAGATGGTCCGCTTCTGGCTCCTGCCCATCTAGGACTCCCATCACTGGGTCCTCACCACAATGGGAAGATGGGCAATCATTGCCACATCCATGAGGGTCGGGCCAATAGAGCCTGTTGGCAGAAAGAAGGCCCCCATCTCTGAGTGCCAGAAGGCCGACATCGCCAGGAGAACCTTCTCGTGCAAATGAAATGGAAGCGTGGAAAGGAGTATGGCCTGGTCGATGTGTTGACGCTTCCCCTGCTCCTGGAAGCGCTTCGCCACTCTGTTGTACCAGGTGCGGTAGCGGTCCTTGGGATCGGTCAGGTGGGTCTTGATGCTGTCATTGATACGAACAGCATTGTAGTTTGAATTGTTGATGGCAAGGGGGTTCCCTGCTTCAAGTACCTCCCTCATCCGACTGGAGTCCTCAAGAGTAGTGCAGTATGGGCGGATGGTTGGAGTCAGCACCTTCGATGCAACAAAAGATACCTCCGGGTTGGTTCCCTCAAAAGGAAGTGCAGGTACGTATTGGGTTGCCATGGATTGAGAGTTGCAGAAAGGAGATGGTAGCAACAACGAAGAAGATTGGAGGTTTTTCTGGAAATGGCTCACGATAATGGATGCATGAAATGAACAAAGTTGATGGAAGGGTTTTTAAAGGAAATAATGGGTAATGATTTCAGAATGGGGTATTTAAATGTGATAGGAAACAGAGTCAGGCCGGCACTGTTACATAGGTTGTAGACTCCCAAACGTCCTGTCATGCAGCGATCGAGGAGTGACGTTTGGAAGTCAGATGGCGGCAGGGCAAGTTGTCGAGTATAAAATTTATAATTAGGGTAATGACCCAAAATAAGAGAAGATGTGGGCCCGTCACTGGGCCCATCAGACGGCTAAGGGTTTCTCGTGGCGGTCGGTTGGTTAACAGTCCGTTTAAGGGGCCAAGGGTTTCTCTGGGCGGAAGGATCGGCGGCTAGGCGGTCGGTTGGTCAGCCGCCCGTTTAAGGAGACAGGACAATACGGGGGTGATCGGACGAGCAGTTGAATTCGATAACTAACAGGAATGATTGGTGGGACGGTTAAGATAAGTGTCATTTGGGGATTAATGTGTGGGGCGGTTGATGGCGGTTGCGGTAACTGACCGAGTGACGTTTTGAAACGTTTCCTTATGAATTATTTAATGATTCAGGAAAATTCAGATAGGGGATTTTCAATCAGACAAGAATTAAGTGCAAATTATCTGTTGGGGGTGATCCTTTATTTTTATTTTACTACTTTGTTCTATAAATAAATTTTTATCCAAATTTGATAATCTTTTCAGATTTTACTTTGAAAAAATCATTCAACAAATTGTATGCAACAAAACGTCATCGGTGTTCATCATGACACTCCAAGGACAAGTAAAGAGATCTGTCCCTGCTTATCCCTTTCATCTCGTGGAAATCAAAAGGATGGAAGGAAAGATAACTCCTCTTTAATTAGGAACCAAGATGTGCTTTGCAATACTTTATAATATTTTTGGGACATATATCACTTCAGGCTTTGAATTGGGCAGTATTTATAAGGGTGTGTTTGTTTCGTGGGTTTTAGTTTTTCGGTTTGAATTTTTTAATAATAAAAAGTTGAATTTGAATAGTAATTTGATATGATATAAATAGATTTTGATACGATGTTTTTAATGTAAAATAAATTTGTAGTATAATACAAAATACAATAAATATAATTATTGGAATAAATTAACATAAATTATACCAAACTCGATATAAATAAGTAATTAATTAAATAAAAAAATTTATAAAATATACCGAAATCAAGACTTATCATCGACCGATCCAACCGACTTCCCTAGGGTTGGCTCCTTAAAATATATATTTATATAATCCATTCTTTTTTTTCCTCTCATCATTCCATCCCATCAATTCAGTCTGCCACTTTTTTTTTTCTCTCTTCTCTCGTTCTCTTTCCCATAACACTAATTCGGTCAACGTTTTTTCTTCTTCCTAAAGTATATTATATAATTCACATCTCTTTCTTTCTCTCCTCTTTCTTCTGACCAATTCAGTCGGCCACTTTCTTTTTGGTTCAAAATATTTAAATTTATATTCTTTATTTATTTTAATTTATATATTTATACTCATATAATGTGATTTTTAAAAATTAATTCGAAATATAAAATATATCAATATACATAATTTTGTAGAGAAATTTTTTTTAATAATGCAGAAAAAATTAACTAAAAAATGTATAATACAAAAAATATTTTGAAAAACAAAATTAGATTTTTTAAATTTGGTTCGTTGCACGTTTATAAAGAAATATATATATTTATATGATTCATTCTTTTTCTTTAATATAATAAAATATTTTAAAAAATATATATATATTTTCTAAATTAGTTGGTTGTACTGTTAAAAAAATTATTTATATAATTCATTCAATTTTTTTTGTCTCCTCTTTTCATCCGATCAATTCGGTCAGTGACTTTCTATTTGTTTCAAAATATATATATATATATATTCTTTATTTATTTAAATTTATATATTCATATAATGTAATTAAAATTTAATTTGAAATTTGAAATATATCAATGTATAAAACATTTTGGGGTAAATTGCAATAAATATCCTGCAACTATACTTCATTATCACTTTTGTCATCAATCTATCACCCTGGAAAAATATATCCCGCACCTTTTACAAAACTCGCCATTCACGTCCTCCCGTCGCATGTCATTGTCACATGGCAGTTGAACCACACGCTCTCGTGTACGAAATCCACGCGGCATTGTTTGATTGGGTGATTATATTAAGATATTAAATTATATATATAAATTAAATTTGCAATTTGATCCCCTGTGGGATTAAATTGCAATTTCACACGGGATCAAATTGCAAACTCACCACAAAACCCCTACCTAACTCATTGATAGTGGACTTCTGAAAATCGATCGCATTCAGGGGGTGGAATTTCATCCAAAACCGATTGCATTCATCTGGGGAGTTTATCTCGCTCGCGAATCTTCCAAAAAAAGGTCTGACTTCAAGACTTTTGTTGTCGGAGGAACAAACGTAGGTTCATTCCCGTGCTTTTTTTTTTGTTCTTGATGATATGAGTAACGACGAGGATAAGGGCAAAGGCAAGATCAAGGGAAAAAGAATCGACTTTGGGGCACATCCTTTATATGGTAAGTATTTTTCGCTTTAATGTCATATAATATTCTTCTTGTGGGGTACCGTTGTCGGAAAACTCCAAATGTTTCGATTCAAACCATGGTCCTACATTAGAAATATTTTATTCTTCTATTTTGGTCCCCCATTCCTTGATTCCGTCGATTTGATACAAATTTGGTCCCCCACTCCATTGTCATATGAAAGTTTCATGCTAATTTTTGTGTTATGCAGAACCCGAAAGCACACGTTTGACAGTGTGCTTACATTTCGATGGAGTCTTGTACCACACTCCAATAGCAAAGTATGTTAGGGGATCCATCAAGAATTTTGATTTCGTGCTAGCTGGAACACTTACTAAGGACTTGACGGAGTTGTTTGGGAGAAATACTGGGGTTAACATTGCAGAGTATAATAAGTATTACACTCTAATTGGTAACAATTTAAAGCTATTA